AGATTCTTTTCCATTATAGTTTATTACAAGATATTGAATATAGTCCCCTGTGCTGTACAGTAAATTCTTGTTGTTTATCTATTTTATGTGTAGTCATTTATATTTAATCCTTACTCCTAATTTATTCACCCCCTCTGGTAACCATAAGTTTCTAAGTCTGTGAAGTCTGTTTCTGTTTTGTGTATAAATTCATTTGTATTATTTTTTAGATTCCAAATATAAGTAATATTGTATAATATTTGTCTAATTTCACTTAATATATAATTTCTAGGTCAGTTGTTGTTGCTGCAGATGGCAATATTTCATTCGTTTTTGTGGCTCAGTAATATTCCAATGTATATATACATACCACATCTTCTTTATCCAGTCATCTGTTGGACACTTAGGTTGCTTCCATGGCTTGGCTATTGTAAATAGTGCTGCTGTGAACATTGGGGTTCATGTATCTTTTTGAACTAGAGTGTTTATCTTTTCTGGATGTATGCCCAGGAGTGGGATTGCTGGATCATATGGTAGCTCTATTTTTAGTTTTTTGAGGAACCTCCAGACTGTTCTCTGTTCTCTTCCAATATGAACAAATCCTGTTAATTTACCTCTTAAATGTTTCAAGAAGCCATGTGTCCCTTCTTGTCCTCCACCCTCACCTCTGTTTTAGCTGCTGTTACCTCTTATCTCAACTTTGCATTAATTTTCTAACCAGCTCCCTGAGTCCATTTTTGGTTTTCTCCAGTCAGCTCTCCATAGTAGTGTTTGCCATAGGAAAGCTGGTTTTATTACTTTTTGAAATCTTTCCACAACTTTCATGATTTTCATGGGATAGAGACCACAGTTCTTAGAACGGCCCTCAGAGCCCACTTATATTTTCCAGGTCCACAAGACCGTAAGTGGCACCAAGGCAAGGGCCATGTCTGTTTTTGCTCACTGTTGGATTTCTGGTGAGAGATTTCACAAATAAGAAAGTTTCAAGGGTCTGTATTTTTTAACCTTTTACCTCTAGGGTTTGCTGCTGGGTTTGTTTACATGTGTGAATGTTTTGTTTTCAAGGTGGCAGTTCTCATTCCTTTCCGTAATCGCCATGAACATCTTCCAATTTTTTTCTTGCACCTGATTCCGATGCTCCAGAAACAGCGGCTGGAATTCGCCTTTTATGTTATTGAACAGGTGAGGCTGTTTTTCAAAATGGTGGCTAAGTATACTAGAACTTAATAAACTCTTAGATATGGTGTGATTTAAAATGTTCAGTTTAGGGTTAATCCTTGGTTTCATATCGGGTCAAATTCCACCTTGGATTGAGCCTGTTAGTTGTATATGCCACATTTTGTTAATCTGTTTATCATTTTTAACCATCGAATGTCTCACCTATTAAAGTGAAATATGTTTTCTAATTATTCTTAATATTATCAGCTAATTTTTTCCCTCTGTATTATTCTTGTCTCAGTATTCCATGTATTCAATTTATTTTCAGTCCTACTTAGACCCTTTGGAGATAACTTCTATATTTCTGTGTTTTTCTACTTCTGTCATTGCCTAGTTTTATACTTAAGATGTCATCATCTTGGATATTTTTGTGTGTGTGCGTTTCCCCCACCCTATCTCCCAAACACTAGGGTCCTTGCTGAATTTGCTCACTGATTTCTATATGGTATTTCTAAAATGGGGCATTTTATTCACGTTTCAAATACATTGTAATTTGGGAACTTTTGGTTTGACACTGATGACCTCATTTTATCCTGATCGTTCCTTCTGTTCACTAAACCTGACTGAAAATGCATTTCCTTATTTATCATTAGACAGAAAGTGACCTGACTTCTATGTTAGATGCTTCTGGGTTTTTTTGTTTTGTTTTGTTTTTGAAATGTTAGAAAATACTCAAGTTTTATTTCTAAGATTGTTACACTTAGTGTGTTTCCCCAGCTCCTTTGTGCCTGATTCTAGATTTTTTAATTTTATTTTCTCTTAGCTTTTTTTGCCTCTATTTTTTCCCTTCTGGAAATACTTGGTTTTTAACATGATATACTCCTTTGTATATAAATCACCCTTTTAAGGTCTGCTCCCGGTGTGTATAATGATGTATATTGTCATTAGTAGCCATATGTGCTTTTTAATTCAACAGTATATATATATGTGTTTTTAATTCAACAACCTGTACCATGAAAATTGACTTTTTTTTAAACCTGATAATAAATTTAACGTTTTAGCTACTTTCATGATAGCCTTAGTTATCCACTTCTAGCTCTGTTTTCCCAACTTGCTAGTTTCCTTTTTTGAAACTTCAGTCTTCATAATGTGTTGGAGAATGAGATCTGTGCCTCTGTGTTTTTAAAGGCATTTTCTCCTAAGAGTCCAGCACCACTGAATTATTTTGTGTATCTGACGAAGAAATCTTTGCAAAGCAAGTAAAGTCCATGTTTTATAAACCTCTTAAGTCTGAACCTCAGCCTTGATCAATATTAATTCAGGCCCGTGTATGTGCTAGCGCGCGGTTTTGAGCCAGTGGCGCGTTACCACATATGAAGTAGAAGAGTCGTTTTCCTGCTGGGCTGGTGCCCAGAAGGGCTCAGCATTTGACGAGCAGCTCAGAACTCCTAGCTGAGTATGGGAGCTGGTGCGTGTTTACCCCTTCTCCTTTCCACACTCCTAAAGCGAGAGTGAAAGAAAAAAACTTGCAATGAGTTATTAAACCACAAGGACAAAGAGAGGGAGTAGTGGAGCAACTTGAGGGCAGCTCTGGAAGCCGGGAGGCAGGGGCAGCACTGGCAGAGCAGGGGGTGTTCAAGCCCACGTGCGGTCGAGAGTGATGGCGACGAGTACCGAGTCAACCTGCTGGACCAACCCCTGCGGACCTCGGCACCTGGAAGATGTCACAGAAGACGAACGGAAGTGCTGGGCTAAACCAGGGGCGTTGTTCAAGTTTGGTTATGGAACAGTCAGCTTCCCGGTGCCTTGTCTTTGCTCGTGTTGCCAGGTGGTTACTCTGTTGGATCTTGTAGAAAATGAGAGGTTTATCCCCGGAGAAACCCCTCTAGAGCAGGTCCTGACCGCGCTGACACAGCTGAGCTGTGGGGCCTCCAGGCAGCGGCTGGAGGAGGGCTGGGTGCCGACCCCAGGCGCCCATGGTTCTCCTCCCTGTCTGGCTGTTGGAGGCCAGTTAGGTGTGAGTCCCCCAGCGCCTCCAGCTGAGGCAGGGAATGAGCGGTGTCTTCACGAGAGGAATAGATCAGCTCCAGGAAGACGATGTCTGATCTAATATTTGGAAGTCTCTAAAGGAAGAGGCCGGCTCGTTACTTTCTCACCTCCAGGAAGCCCACTTTCATTCATTCAGCACAGGGGAAACAGCAGGGATCAAACCAGGTGAGGCCTGTCGTTGTCCTGGGGAGAGAAGGGCAGTAAGTAACCATGTGGTGGGCCAGGTGGTGCCCGGAGCTGAGTTGCGGCAGAGAGCGCAGTAAGGGCAGGGAGAGGGGCTCTTTTATTCTGAGTGTTTATGGAAGGCCCTCTCGGAGGAGGTGAGGTGGGAGCAGCCCTGAATGATGGAAAGGAGCCGGCCCTGCTGATGTTCCCAGGCGTGTGTACCAGGCAAGGCAGGAGAGCGTGTGTTTGTGCCAAGAAGTCAGTGTCTCTGGAGTGAGGAGTGAAAGAGACTGTTAGGGAGGAAATCAGAGAGGGGAGAGGAGCAGATAATGAAGGACCTAACAGGCTGGGAGGTGGACTTGGATTATCCTGAGTGAGGTCAGAAGATGCTGGAGGATTTTAAATAGAAGAATGATGTGATCTAAGTTATGTTGTGAAAAAATGACCGTGCAGGAGAGTAGACTGAGTGGGGCAAGGACGGAAATGAGAACGGAGAAGATGTTGACTTGGGCTCCCGTGGTATTGGTGGAGGAGGTGAGCAGTGGTTGGGTTTGGGCTACACTGGGTTTAGAAGTGATATTTGCTGTTGAATTGGCTGTACAGTGTGAGAGATGGAGAATACTCAACCGTGATGCCAGGGCTTTTGTCTTGAGCATTCTGAGCTATGGACACGTAGAACACTGGGGAGGAGGAATGGGGATTCTGTTCTTTTGTTTTAGTTTGGTTTCAGGATTTGCTAACGCAGATGCATGTGTGTATGTTTGAGTCGACAGTGCTGTGCCCCGACCTCACATAGTTACGTATGTGGGGATCCCCCTCAGCTTTTTAGTGCCTTACTCTCAGCCATGAATGGGCAGCCAAGGGTCTTCATAAGAGGAGACAAAACGAATCCAACAAAAGAGACTGTCGGAAATAGAGACGCTGGAGGGAACATACCATTTTTTAAAAAAGAAAAGAGACTAACAGTAACAAACTATAATCACTCTCCACAGAGAGTAAAGGAAAGATAATGAATCTGAGAAATGAAAACAAAACACCATAAAGAAAGAATGACCAGAATAAGAAAGTTATAAAAGAAAATGCGATAAGTAAAACTTTCAGTAGAATGTCTGGGAAACAGACTTAAGAAGATAACTCTTAATGGAAGCAAAACAGGAGAAATTAAGATCAGTCAGAGAGTACCATTACATCACAGGGTAACCACCTCCAAGATGCTCTCCAGGGAGAGCCTTGCCTCTGTGTGTGGTCTCCTCCCACTGTTGCAGAAAAACGTGTTACAGCTCAGTGTTACAGCTCAGTTGTGACAGCAACCTGGATCCGGGCGAGAGACCAAGCAGCACTCGGAGAGTTGAAGAACTGAAGTTTATTATGCCAGCAAGCCCAGAGGAGTTAACACTCCAAGCTCTGGACCCCGT